GCCCTAAGAACAATATTGAGGAATATGGCTTCAAGTTCGTTAGCGATTTAATGATGTTTTGTTATTGTACTATTACAACGAGTACCTGCATGTTGAAGGGATATTTTGACGGAAATAATTTGAGTGTAGAGAAATTATTAGTTTCCTATGATTATTGGAGCAAGTAAAACAGAAGAAAACCGATGCTGAATGGATGTAGTGCGTTATTTTATTTAGAAGGAGGGGAGACTTGTTCCAAATCATTAAGGTTAAAACTTCTGTTTGGGCGCAAAGTGGGCTGGGCGCTTCTTTCCTGGACTGTGATAGGTTTAGTCACGACTCTTGGGCAGATGAATTCGAAGCATCTGCAAGATAATTGGTATTATGGTTCCTAACGTTGATGAGAAGAGCATCCATCCATGTTTCGTTGTCCTTAAAAAAAATTTATGACTAGAAATTTGGACGTCAAATTCTACTTACAATATGAAAACTATAAATATTGAAACACTGTTTTAGCCTGTTGCCAAATGTTACACGTTTCCCGTCAGAGATTCTCTGATTTTCAGTTTTTTGTTTGGTATGATTTTATGAGATTAAAGTTTGTTACAAAGAATGAGCAGCGTGGTCAGTGATGGCGCTAACGGCACGTGAACAGTATATTGTTCTAGGCACTTTCTTCTCAGCCAGACAACTAATACCATGTCGCTGTAGTTGCAGTATTCATTCACATTTATACTTGTCGATTTAATCCAGTTTGGCACTTTAAATTTAGATGTAAATTTACTTAGAATTGTGAAATTTTCGTCTAATTTATTTAAGGCAATTATGTCCCAATTACTTAACCTTCAAGTTTTTTCCATGAAGATATTCAAGAATGTTTGCCAAATTACTCCACCTTCCTGCATATTATTTTGGTTGACCAAAGCACAGTACTAGCGAAGATTAACAGTAGACCTGATAACGTTCACTCTGTCTCCATGTCGGTCCTCCTTTTGATCTCCAGCAAATATTTACTATATGTAGGTTAGTTAGGCTTTTTATTATTATTATTCCATGTGTAGGGGGGGGGGCGTTATGACTCTAGACTCATTGGATGGTTCCTTGCTTTGTTTTCACCCTTCAATACCGTCATTCTTGGAAATAGTGTTCAACAGCCCTCCCAGTTTGTCATTTCTTTTAGACGTTTTACGTGTATTAATTTTTTAACTTTATAGTTTGAGAGAGCCGTAGCTGTGGTAGAAAAGTCACAATTATTTTCTCTGTTCGTGAAGATAATAGTTCCTTTGTTACTTCTGCTAGTCTTATAGTTTTAAATAGTTTTTTTTCTATTTTCACTTACCCTTGTAGAGATATTGTAAGATGTTTAAATAGTCTCGCTGTCTATTGCATCGGGGTATACACATCGGGAGGTACTCCGCTTCTCAGTTTCACAGACCTCACTCCCCCGCTGTCACTGAGAAAAGCATCAAGGTACTGTTGACATTCCTGTTACAGGCCCGCTCCTGTGCCAGGTAAGTCCACTACGGGCTCACCACAGCCCGTGCTACTTGCAACCTTTGGTTGCGAGCAGCTGAATCTAAAAAACATCAACAACCTGTTGACATTCATCTAGGGCAGTGGGGCGCCGGCCACCACCAGCGTCAAGGTGGTGTTGATAACAGCCTGAGCGCATGATGGGTCACGCGCCTCCACTCCCCCACAACACTTCTGGGCTGCCCCCTGGCTCCAGTCTATCACCTAATCTAGTCCTTGCGTCATTTTGTAAATCTCCAGTTTACAACCGCATTTACCCATTGCACGATTTCCCCATGTGACCGATGAACTCCCGTTTTAGTTTAGTTCATTTATTATGCACCCCATACACACCTTGTGGGGGTTAGTGGAAAGGGTTACAGAGGCACATAATGGGCTCAGGGACTGAACCCCACATTTCATTTAGCTAAGCAAGTTACAATCTTGATGAGCTAGTTACAAAATTCAATATAAGTCGTCACATCAACAATGGGTTCGAGATCGACCACAAGTACAGGTTCTAAATTAAGCAACTGACATATGTGGAGAGCTAGTGTCAAAATTTATATGTTTGTCCTGCACACCGTCCCCCATCCAGTGGGCAGCGGTGGATAGGTTACAATCACTCCGTTACTACCTACAGTTAGCAAACTGAACTCCCGGCAAGACAAAATGTTTTGAAGTGTAGTAGCGAGGCCACCACGACTTGCTGGGCCCAGGTGGGGTGGCGAGGGAGCCGGCACCTTAACTTGCTGTCCAGAGAGCAGTGTATTAAAAACAAAAGGGACAATACGTTCAACTTCCCGGCCACAAACTCACTACACTGTCTTCTGCAAGACGCAACGGTGCTTACAGTCTAGCAGAGACCGCTTCAAGGAGTCCTCACAGCTTCACCTATACAAAGATGTCAAGTAGGCCGCTATCCTCAACCTAGATTACACCACACTGAGCAATCATTCGTCTTGCCAACCCCATTTCACACCCCACAACTCCACCCCCCTTCTACAAGCCTCCATCCCCGCCCCCCATTAGCACACAGTTCCTTGTACCCCTTCCCCACCAACCCACTCAAATGAAAAAATATATAAACTTGTCAAACAGCGCCGTAAATCCCTCGTGAACCAATAAACTCTGGAAAATAACAAGTCACATTCAATAACATTCTTCAGCCGTAAGGCAGCGGACAACACAGCAGAAATCTAGGGCAAGATTCATGAAGCAGTTACGTAAGCACTTACGAACCTGAACATCTTTTCTCAATCTTTGACGGCTTTGTTTACAATTATTAAACAGTTAATGAGCTCCGAAGCACCAGGAGACTGTTCATAACAATAACAGTTGATTGGGAAGTTTTCATGCTTGTAAACTGTTTAATAGATGTAACCGAAGCCGTCAAAGATTGAGGCAAGATGTACACGTTCGTACTTCCGTAACTGCTTTGTGAATCTGGCCCCTAGCCTTCTCGACTATAAAACATTGTTAACAGCGTAGAGGCAGGTTGGTGAATTACCGGCAATAGTAGTACAACTACTCGCGGTTACCCAATTATCCGAGTTAACGAGTGAACAGCAACAGCAGTGCTTGCCTATGTGAATATGGCGAGGCAAGATCTAGCGTTTGATACCGATTGATTGATTGATAAAGATTAAGCCACCCAAGAGGTGGCACGGGCATGAATAGCCCGTAAGTGGTGGCCCTTTTGAGCCATTACCAATAGATGATACTGGAGATCTGTGGAGGTGCGACTGCACCCTGCGTGACGGGAGATGTCTCCCTCTTGATACCCTGTCACCTAGTCTTTTATACCTGGTGGGCTAATGTCTATCTCTATCCACATTAACGTTATTATATTTTATGGATGGAAGTTTCTTCAACATTATAAATAATACCGATTTATAATAGCAAGAGAAACTGACATTAATGTACGCTCAGAGCATAAGTAAGCGTTAAGGAGTTTATTATTATTATTATTATTATTTTCTACCACAGACGTGGTCACACATTTACAATGCTAACCAGCATATATACATTTTCTTCTGTCCTCCATGGACAGGGTTAGAGATGTGTTAAACATATAGTTCAGGGACTTATTGAACAGTTAAAGAGCATTGGAAGGACTAGCGCAGGTGGTTAAGCGAGTACGAGCGCAGGGGGTCATGTACGGTAGAGACTGTACAGCAACTGGCACCGACTCCACTCCTCAAACCACAAAGCGATCGCATGACCTAGTAACAGCTCTTCTATAAGACAAATCCATCTCAATACTTCTGGCGCTCAGGAGACACGAGAACACCCTCTCACTCCCAGCTACTCTTGCACAACCGCACAAACAAGAACGCACAAACAAGAACGCACAAACAAACTACACATTAAACTATACAAGTACACCAAACGACAAAACCAAACATCTACATACCCACAATATCCCAATAATTAAGCCAGACACCAAAATAACCACACGAAACACTAAAAAAAAAAAAAATAAAAAAAAAAAAAATCCAAGAGGAACCCGTGAATCACAAGGGCGCTGGAAAGAGAATGTAATCATCAGCCTAGAGAATGTGTTGTCAGTATTACCAACTCCTGCAGCCTCACTTCAACACACACACACGCGGACCCGGCGCTAAGCTGGCAACACTTCACCACCACACTCTCCCACACCCACATGTTGTGAAAAGCTCCACAAACACGCTACAGTTTGTTTATGTCCGTAAAGGCGGACACAAACATGGAAGTTAGGAGAGGGGGAGACAAAATAAAAATACGAACGAGAAGGGTGGAGAAAGGAAGAGCCAGACAATAACACGAGATACCATATCCTCCTGTTTTGATAGTATTTTTTTATTGTGTGGACCATAGTACATATATTGACGTAATTGTGAATTAGATAGCAAGATTTGTTGACATCTCATTCACTTTATAAAAGTCTGGAATAAATAAAACCAAAAAACCAAACACTAATATTCCTAAGCCTAGTATAGCACACGTATATACGGTATTAGGCCTCAGACGGCACTGAATAGTTAGATTAGGTTTTATTCCCACCAAATACAAAACCTTTTCCGGTCTGACCAAATTCATTAGTACCAAACCCTACTTTACACACACAGATCACACTAACGTGATGCATCAAATGAACAAATCCACAAGGGGCCGTGACGAGGATTCGAACCTGCGACCGGGAGCATCGCAGTAGAACTTCGGTTTTAACCCTTTTAACCCTGTCGTAGCTCAGTCGATTAAGGCAGTGTCTGGGATGCTCCCGGACGCAGGTTCGAATCCTCGTCACGGCCCTTGTGGATTTGTTCATTTAAACCCTACTTTCTAATCGTTCATTACGTCAAAACACACACACACACACACACACACACACACACACACACACACGTACGACGGTCCACACGGTGACAAACGGGTACCATCTAAACAGGAGGATAGACAGCAAGAGACTAGCCCAAGAGTCGGGACAGGACGCGACAACACAGGTCCCCCGTAGAGACAAATGTTACCTGTACGGCTCGTCCTCCCACGGGTCTGGTGGCTCATCCTGGTAATAGAAGCTGTGAGGGGGAATAAAAGCGAAATGTGTCAACGTTGCTGTATCTGGAGCCTAGGGCCAGAGTGATCGTGAGTGAGTGAGTGAGTGAGTGAGTGAGTGAGTGAGTGAGTGAGTGAGTGAGTGAGTGAGTGAGTGAGTGAGTGAGTGAGTGAGTGAGTGAGTGAGTGAGTGAGTGAGTGAGTGAGTGAGTGAGTGAGTGAGTGAGTGAGTGAGTGAGTGAGTGAGTGAGTGAGTGAGTGAGTGAGTGAGTGAGTGAGTGAGTGAGTGAGTGTGAGCGAGCGAGCTTACGAAGCCCATCTTTCCACTATCATGTCGGCTTAATCTATATTTATTAAACAGTTTACAGGCATGTAAACTCCGCAACTGAAGTTTATTATTTACAACCTCGTAGCGCTTCAGAGTTTATAAACCGTCAAATGCAAAATCGCCATGACTGAGGAAAGATGCACAGGTTTCGTAAACGCACATTTAAATACTTTATGAATGCTAGCCCAAGATATTTGTTAAAGTAGGACTAAGGAAGAAATATTAAATCTGAAAATGTAGTGATTTCGTGTTAAAACATGCAGGTTATAAGAGGAACAGGTTAGTTAATTATTACATAGTTAATAAAGACCAATGTTAATTTTCTTGAAGCACAAACACAGGTGACTAGGAAGCCAGCCCCTTGCCAGCAGACGATCGCATCAACATTTGGTTGAAATGATAAACCAAGGAAAACCAAAGTTGCAATTTCTCTGAAAGAAATTCGTGTTAGGAAGCACGAAATAAACACCCAGAGGAAATGCATAAAATGCCTATGTGAATATGGCGAGGCATACATAGACGTTTATTGTTTGTGATGTGTGCCTATGTATGTATTAACACGATGTACTGAACGGGGTGAGAATAGCTTGAGCTACCTCGTCTCTTTGTATGTATTTTACCTCAATAAACTTATTTCAATTTCAATTCTAATAAACACCTTCAGAGACGGCAACAATCACAAGCGCCCAGATAGGCTGCATGGGTCTGGACACGTTGCTAGGTCCCCTCCTGTCCCCTCGCGGCTCCACTCTGTTCTCTTAAAAATTAAACGTTTGTCTAACCAGAAATTTACTAACCCGAACAACCAACCTATCGAGGCCGATACATTAGAAAAATGTAAAAGAGGAAACTGGCAAGAGCCATGAGGATGATTCGAAAGCTCATTTGGTAATTCCCATGCCAATCATTTGGCACTGAAGCCCAAACAGGATTTCACACAATGCCACCAAACACACTGGCTCTGATCGAGTAGTTTTACCTTCAAAAGGGTCATTAAAAGATGTTCCCAATGATTGTTAAACTGTGCAAGCAAAAAAGTAACTGGGGAAACAAAAGTTCAAAAGCTCGGTTAGAGAAGAGAGAGGAGCCAGCCATTGGTGTACTCCCTCACGACAGACGAAGAGGGGTGGTGGTGGTGGTCTATGCCAGTAAGATTGATAAAGATTAAGCCACTCAAGAGGTGGCACGGGCATGAATAGCCCGTAATATGCCAGTAAGCTGCTGCTGCTGTTTTAGATTTAGCTACTCAGAACGCAGTGTCCATGTAGCACGGGCTATGGTGAGCCCGTAAAGCCAGTAAGCTGTGTTAAGAATGATATATGCCAAAACCTGGTGTGGTGGGCGCGGTCCTCCCCGCCGACGACGTTCACTCCGCCAGCGAGAAAGTAGATGAGTTGTCACTTGTTCACTAGAAAGTAAAAGCTGGAAGGCTTGCACCATTATCTTGGTTGAATTACAGCGCTAAACGACCTGGATGAGATCAATACAATAACCGGACACAAAAACGATATTGTTCCGTCATGGCGCACAGAACGCTCACAGGAAAGTAAATGCACGAGTATAATACTCCATCTAGATTTTATTTTCCAAATAAAATTTTAGAAAAATCGAGGCTGTGAACCCACTTCTAGGTACGCCCCCACGTGACTGCCCGATGACTCTTGGAGATAACCTGAATAAGAGATCACTCAACGATAACTAGATAAGATACGACAAATGCAGCTTCAACAAAGGTAATGAATTATATTGGTGCAACCAACGTCAGCATCGGAGACCTGACGAATGCTGCCACACCACACACCCTTGCTGAAGTAGTCGCTAATGAAGGGGGTAGGCAGAAGCGGGGTGGGGGGAAAGGGGTGGGGAAAAAGATATAAAACAGACGAAGAAATGGGAGGAGTTACGGGCTATTCATTCCCGTGCCACCTCTTGGGTGGCTTAATCTTTATCAATCAATCATGGGAGGAGGAAATGATTCGGTAGCAGAAGGAACGGACTAAAATACATTGACCTAAATAAATCGGATTAATTCTACCGATCCTCTAAAGGGTATCTGATTACATCCCCCCCCCCCCTCCTAGCTACACGTAACCCGCCTGGTGACGGGAAGGACAACTCCATCTGCCAAATCACCAAACTTGTGAACACTGAAGGAAGGGTACACGGGAAAGGGGGAGAGGGGTTGAGAGGACATCAAGAGATGGGGGGATGTTTCGACATGAATAACACAACCCGTTCTTAAAAAGAAAAATGAGAGTACCTATAGCGACTGTGGATGGAAATTTACAAAATACGAACTGTTGCAACCCGTTCTAAGATCCATTTAGAACTTTGCAGATGGTTGAAAACCCAACAATCAAATTTAACGTTTCCTAGGCCTGATACAGTACATATATGTACTAACTTAGGCTAAGATTGCTTATGCTAACTTTAGGATGGTTAAGGCTTGGTGTAAGTTTCTATGCCCTTGAGAATTCCACTCCTACAAAAGGTGGAATTTACACACACAAATCACAATAACCTAATGCATTAAATTTACAAATCCACAAGGGCCGTAGAGATTCGAACCTACGTCCGAGATCATCCCAGACGCTGTTTTTATCGACTTCGTAGCTCAGTCGATAAAGGCAGCGTCTGGGATGATCTCCGACTTAGGTTCGAATCTTCGTCACGGCCCTTGTGGATTTGATCAAAGGTGGAATTTGTTGGGCACAAGTACAACATTTTGCACATTCCAATCATAGTAACTATGGACATTTATTTTTGTGGAGGAAGGGTTGGAATAATGAGAGACGGACCTGGAGGCGCGGGAGACCTCGTCCCACTGGTCGTCGCGGTAGTAGCCGTTGCCCACGCCGTTCATGTCGCTGCGTCCTCACACCCTGCAACACCAGAGCATACATGAGGTCACCTCACACTACATTACGGGCTATTCATGCCCGTGCCACCTCTCGGGTGGCTTAATCTTCAATCAATCTCACACTACAACACAACCGCCCGCCACACTTCCATCCAGGACGCGTCGCGGCAACACCCCCCCCCCCCAAAAAAAAAGAGTGCAGCACTATCTAAAATGATAAAATTATATAATATACTAAATAATAATTTATAGATAATAATACTAGATAATTTTCTCCAAGGAGTGCCGGACCAACCGGGCTATGGTGGATATGTGGGCCTGAGGGCCGCTTCAAGCAATAGCCTGGTAGCCAAGCTCTCTCGAGTCAAGCCTGGCCTCGGGCCGGACTTGGGGAGTAGAACAACTCCCAGAACCCCCATCAAGCAGGGATCAAGCAAGCAGTTATGCTGCAAGTGGTATATTACACTTGTGTAATATATTAGGCCTAGATCTAAGTCCTATACCGCTTTATCTGCCAATTGGATACACTGGAATGTTTGCTAAAAGTTCATATTTTGTACATAAACCATATCGTTTTAAGTACTGTCTTGACAAGAGCATCAGTTTGTTGTTTAATACTGACTACTTACCAATTAACTAAAATTGCTAGGGGAATATTTCGCTAATAAAGGATTCTTGCGTGAATGCAATCGTGCAGCAGTAGTCATGTTAATGTCATGAAAATGCTATACAATTTGACAATTATCCGATTCCATACATACAAGTGACATGTATACAGACAGACACACGTACGTACGTACATATATATATATATATATATATATATATATATATATATATATATATATATATATATATATATATATATATATATATATATATATATATATATATATATATATATATATATATATATACAACCCGTTCTCGCAAATTCGTAAAGTCAATATTGACTTATTAACTACGTGCATAGGTGATATACTAAACATAATAGATACCCTTAAAAAGATTCATAGAAAACACCGACCTTACCTAACCTTGTTAGTATCTTAAGATAAGCATCTTATTGCTTCGTAATTACAATTATTACTTAACCTATGCCTATTATAGGTTAGGTAATAATTGTAATTACGAAGCAATAAGATGCTTATCTTAAGATACTAACAAGGTTAGGTAAGGTCGGTGTTTTCTATGAATCTTTTTAAGGGTATCTATTATGTTAAGTATGTCACCTATGCACATATTTAATAAGTCAATATTGACTTATTAAATTTGCGAGAACGGGTTGATATATATATATATATATATTAGTGACGATAATCTCCTTCAAGAGATTGAGCCTGCTCTTCCCTCCAAAAGACGTCGATATAAACATCTATATAAAACTACTATGGAAGAAAAATCCAACAACGACAACACCAGCAAGGTTTGCCAGAGCGCAAAACGTATGCAGCCAGGAACACCTGCTCCACCTCAAACCGCCAAACTACCTGTCTTGTCTCCTGCTCGTTGCTGATTGGCTGCAGGTCCGGCTGCAACTGCACTCTACCCACCATACTACTTGATGTCTGGGGCCGCCACGACCTCGGTCTTCAGAATATCCCGTGCTTTCGACAAGTTAACACGTCTCGTTGGTAGACTAAGCCCCAGGCTTACGTGTACTAAGAGAAGTGATAGCTTGAAGCCAATATTCCGGCACCTATTTACTTTGTTTGCCATACACTTGTTATTTGTTCACTTGTCTTAACGTAACTTTTCATTTTGCCATTTGATTATTCTTATTACTTTGATTTTATTATACGAATTTGTATGTCCATTTTATTCATGTTTTGCTTTCTTTAACGTAATTAAAATTTCATTGTTAAAATTTACTTGTTTTGTGTGTCTTCTCCTTACCTTACCACAGACGAAGTTCCAGATTTTCTATTTTTTTTTCTATATGTGACGAGGCCATACCCCTAGCTTTTGAACAGCCGAACACCAACGCGTTACCGTCACAATATACATACATGTACACAAATATATACAGATCAATCTTTTTACATCACGTGATTCAACAAGAGGCTCACAACAGTCACCATACAAGGCAGTTTACATGTATGGCGAGTCACACAGTTACTAATCCTGCTCCACACCCACCCAACTGGGCGGCAACTTTACAGCACCTCTCGTACACCAACATACTTCTGCAAGACTGTAATCAAGAGTCTGTACATGTACTAACCCAAGCCATACACAATTACTTTATAGTTTATACACTCATTCCCTATCCCAAACACGCGTCCAGTCCAGCCCTCCCCAGCCCGCGGGAGCGTGAGAGCACAGCTGGGGATTGTGTGCCGCACAACACAATCTTGAAACAATTGACATCCTGAGTTAGAAAATTGGCAGGCGAGGTAGGAAGGTTTGGCGAGAGACTGATGGGGTTTAAGGAGGAGGTGAGGATGGGAAGCATCAGAATTCTCCCCCACCTCGATATATATCTCTCTCTCACACACACACACACACACACACACACACACACACACACACACACACACACACACACACACACACACACACACACGAAAGTTGGAGATGCAGGCTGGAGTGAGAGGGAAGGTACTCCGGTGGATAGAGGAATACCTAAGCAACAGGAGACAACGAGTCTGTGTGAGGGGTGAGGTCTCAGATTGGCGAGACGTCACAAGTGGAGTCCCGCAGGGGTCAGTCCTTGGACCTATACTGTTTCTGGTATATGTAAATGATCTCCCAGAGGGTATAGATTCGTTCCTCTCAATGTTTGCCGACGATGCAAAAATTATGAGGAGGATTGAAACAGAGGATGATAGTAGGAGGCTACAAGATGACCTGGATAGACTGAGTGAATGGTCCAACAAATGGCTGTTGAAGTTCAACCCGAGTAAATGCAAAGTAATGAAACTAGGCAGTGGAAACAGGAGGCCAGGCACAGGATACAGAATAGGAGATGAAGTACTTAATGAAACAGACAGAGAGAAAGATCTAGGAGTTGATATCACACCAAACCTGTCTCCTGAAGCCCACATAAAGAGAATAACGTCTGCGGCATATGCGAGGCTGGCTAACATCAGAACGGCGTTCAGGAACCTGTGTAAGGAATCATTCAGAATCTTGTACACCACATATGTAAGACCAATCCTGGAGTATGCGGCCCCAGCATGGAGCCCGTACCTTGTCAAGCACAAGACGAAGCTGGAAAAAGTCCAAAGGTATGCTACTAGACTAGTCCCAGAACTAAGAGGCATGAGTTATGAGGAAAGGCTGCGGGAAATGCACCTCACGACACTGGAAGACAGAAGAGTAAGGGGGGACATGATCACAACCTACAAAATCCTCAGGGGAATCGACCGGGTAAACAAGGATGAACTTTTCAACACTGGTGGGACGCGAACAAGGGGACACAGGTGGAAGCTGAGTACCCAAATGAGCCACAGAGACGTTAGAAAGAACTTTTTCAGTGTCAGAGTAGTTAGCAAATGGAATGCATTAGGAAGTGATGTGGTGGAGGCTGACTCCATTCACAGTTTCAAATGTAGATATGATAGAGCCCAATAGGCTCAGGAATCTGTACACCAGTTGATTGACGGTTGAGAGGCGGGACCAAAGAGCCAGAGCTCAACCCCCGCAAGCACAATTAGGTGAGTACAATTAGGTGAGTACACACACACACACGCCTACACGTGGAGGAGGGACACTCCTCCTCCAGGTGTGCTTTGGTCCATCACAGTACGCGGCGCCCATAATAAAAGAACATGAACAACTGCACTGGAAGCACTCCCCCCCCCTCCCCTCCCCCCCCCTCCCCCCAACACCCTGACCAGCGTGTGAGCGTCAGTAACTATGTATACGCTGTATTCCTCGTTACAAGATATGGCCATGTATACACACTTATTGTTGCGATAATAATAAGACATTAATACTATAACTTGGTCCATCGTGCACGATGCTTTGACCATTCTGCAGGCCCACATGTCCATTACAACCTGACTTGTCCTGTACTTCCTGCAGCGACTATCTAGGTCTTTATTAACACTACATTCTTATTCCGCCAATTTGTCTTATGAGAAGATATCAAAGAGGATAATAAGGTGGACCTTAAAGAGCCGAGGATTTGTGATGCTGACAGTGTTTTCTGATTATACCTCTGGCACGAACTCTTCACCCAGTCTATCCTGCATGTTATATCATCTCTCGCTCCAGTATGGCATTTCAATATCCACCGTGTATATACATGTATTGTGTGATGCCGCTCGTCTCCTTTCCAGCGAAGATATGTTGAGTGCTTTGAGACAGTTGGAGTGCAAGGTACCTGGCTGAAGTCAACAACTACACTCCATGAAGGAATTTAGGTCAGACACCGTCTAAGCCAGCGAGCAGGACCATGAAGGGTGTTGACCAGACGTGCCAGAGTACTGCCAACCGATGAGCAAGTGACCTTCAGCGAGGCACACCACCTCAGACAGTCTGCACTACACTGGACCTCAACCGCCGCTCTCAGAATGTTTGGTAATATGTTCATTGTTTGTGATGTGTGTATATGTATGTATTAACACGATGTACTGAACGGGGTGAGAATAGCTTGAGCTACCTCATCCCTTTGTGTGTATTTTACCTCAATAAACTTATTTCAATTTCAATTCAATTTCAATCGCCGCTCCTTAGGTGATGTCCTAAGCCCAAACTGTCCAGGACAAGTCACCAAGCCTTAGGGATTCCACTTCCAAAACCTGTGCATTTTTCAACAAGAATGGCGGCACTGTTTATATTAAACAGCTTACGAGTTTCAAAAATTCATAATCCAAGATTCTTGTTAAAAAAAAGGCAGGCTCTTGAGAGCTTCATAGCTCATTAACCGTTTATTAAATGTAAACAAAGCCGCAGGTACATCTTTACATGTCAATTAGGCGAGCCGCTAACATTTCTATTACGATGATATTGGGCCCTTAGGTTGCGTATACGTCAAACCGCGACGCACTATTAGGATGACGGGTTGCAGTATTA